TTTTTTTTTTTTGAGACAGAGCCTCAAGCTGTTGCCCTGGGTAGAGTGCTGTAGCATCACAGCTCACAGCAACCTCTAACTCCTGGGCTCAAGCAAATCTCCTGCCTCCACCTCCCAAGTAGCTGAGACCACAGGTGCCCGCCATGACGCCCGGCTATTTTTTGTTGCAGTTTGGCCGGGCTGTATTTGAATCCGCCACCCTGGATATATGAGGCCAGTGCCCGACTCACTGAGCCACAGCGCTGCCCCAGAAAAAGATATTTCAAGGAAGACAAGTGGATTTTTTTTTAGAGACAAGAGTTTCACTCTGTTGCCCAGGCTAGAGTGTCATGGCATCAGCCTCAGTCACAGCAACCTCAAACTCCTGGGCTTTAGTAATCCTCCTATCTCACCCTCCTAAGTAGTTAGGACTACAGGCACCTAGCATAATGCCCAGATAATTTTTCTATTTTTAGTAGAGACAGGGTTTCACTCTTGCTCAGTCTGGTCTCGAACTTCTAAGCTCAAGGGGGCCTCCTGAGTCAGCCTACCCCAGAGCACTGGGATAACAGGTGTGACACACCCTGTCTAGCTTGACTTCACTCTTGACTTCCACATTATACTTCCTCCCCAAATGGATAGTAGGAGGGAAGGATAAGCAGTATAAAGAGGGCATTGTTAAACCCTGGGACATGCAGTTAAATGAGGATCTATAAGGTCAAGCCCACCGTACCTCAGAGGTTCACTTACCCTTCCTTTCATTCTGTGTACCAGTTCATACATTCGGATGCAGCCTTCCACTTTGACCCCCCGGGAAGACTGAAGTACCATGGACTCTGTATGATGGGACTCATGTTTGCCCTAAATGGACAGAAGAGGAAAAAAGAATTAAGTTCCCAACATAGTAGTATTAAAGTTATCTCTTCTAAACAAAGATCACATTTCAACTTATGAGCAACCACCAATAACAAAAAAACCCCACAATTTTTCTGTTTTTTTTTTCTTTAGACAAGGTCTAACTGTCACCCAGGCTGGAGTGCAACGGCCTCATCATAGCTCACTGCAGGCTCAATGAATCCTCCCACTTCAGCCTCACAAAGTGCTAGGATTATAGGCATGAGCCACTGTGCTTAGACCAAAAAACCAGTTTAAGTTAAAAACAACATAATTGGGAGATTTTCATGACATTGACCTTGTTCTGTTTTCTTCAAATTTGATGTTTTCCACTTTGGGTGGGGTTTTTTGTTTGTTTTTTATGTTTTTGTGTCTTGCTTGTTTACATTACTCTGGCCAGAAAATATTCCCCAATTTCTTCTGATAAGTGTCCATTTGTCCTGGGATGGTATGCATGGAGCAATGCAAAGCCACAACTTCTACCCTCCTGGTCCACACATGTGACCAGCTAGAAATCAAGTACTCTATCCCCCTATAACCAGTATGAACTTGAGAAATGAGAAACACAATTTAAGCTAAACCAGAGTCGATCCCTGAACTTTCCTGATGTTGCTATCTGGGAATGCTAAGAAGATATGGGTCTGGGGTGGTACCTGTGGTTCAGTGAGAAGGGCACCGGCCCCATATACCAAGGATGGCAGGTTGGAACCTGGCCCTGGCCAAACTGCAACAAAAAATAGCCGGGCATTATGGTGGGCGCCTGTAGTCCCAGCTACTTGGGAGGCTGAGGCACAAAGATTGCCTAAGCCCAAGAGTTGGAGGTTGCTGTGAGCTGTGACATCACAGCACTCTACCAACGGCAACATAGTAAGACTCAAAAAAAAAAAAAAAAAAAGAAGAAGAAAATAAGAGTCTAGAATACCTCCATCTTGCCACAAGCAGTTTATCTGAAAAATAAAATGAAAAAGGGAGGCAGAATTGGGAGATGGAAAGGCAAAGCCCTGTATTTGGGTCACTAGACAAAGTCAAAAATAATGTCAAGCAGAGACAAGCAGAAGGCAGATACTGAGATCTATCTGATTCCAAGTAGAATTCTAGACTTCCTACCTATATGAACCAATTAATTTCTTCCCAACTCCATGTATTGCTTAAACTAGTTTGAACTAGATTTCTGATACTTAAAGTACCAAAATTTCCAAATAACAGTAACTCATTTCATAAAATTATCTAACAATTTTTTTTTTTTTTTTTTTTGAGA